CCATCTCTCTCGTAGGCMGCCAAAGCMGCGTKTTTTTTTTTTTGTTTTTTTTTTTTTTGAGCTTGTTCTTCTTCATGTTCTCCTTCTCCCCCAACGGTTGTCATAGCTATAGGCCCCAAATTTCTTCTTCTTCTTCTTCTTTCTTCATGTCCACGTCGTCCTCCTCCTCCTCCTCCTCCCTCCTCCATCTATCCCGTAGGCAGCCAAAGCAGCGTTTTCTTTTGTTTTCTGATGAGTAGTTCTTCGTAGTATTCTCCTTCTACTTCTCCCCGAACAGTTGCCATATAGGCCCCGATTTTCTGCTTCGAATCTTCTTCTTCTTCTTCTTCCCACTCGTAGCCATGGCGGGAGGCACTGCGCAGGAAAGTGTTCGGACCAAAGCTGCCGCAGCTACAAAGGGGGGAAAAGGAGCAATTTGTGATGTGTCTTGGCCAAGCACGCAGAGAACGAAGTCCATGGTGTGTAGTGCAACTGTCAAAACCAGGGAGGCTACGCCAGGAACCGACCCGAGTTTGTTCCAGCCCAAGGATGAGAGAGAACACGAAGTTGCAGAAAAAGAACAAGGTCTGGCTCTGGTGTGAGCATGGACAGGAGGTTTCCGCCAAAGGACGCAAGGAGTATTGGATCAGGTGCAGGAACGCCAAGCACCACGGCAGGGTGGGGATATCCTGAACTGTTCATGACCACGCAGTTTCCAGGGCCGACGGCTCGGATAACCCTTGACTTGGATGAGCCCCAACTGCCGCCTGCTGCAGGGCGCTCCGCCGCTGGTGTTGCTACCATGTTTGCTGCTCCACTTGACAAGGCTGTTGACGAGGAGGATGCTGGAAAGGTTACAGCCACAGTTATCCGTTCGAACAGTCGTCAAGCAGCAGAGCACCGTACGCCGGTGGGTGGACAATGAAGCGCAGAGGAGGTTGGATACTGCATTGGCAGAGGCCATGTTCAGGGCAGACATTGCGTTCAATTTCCTGAGCGTGGCGAATGTCAGCCTCAAGGTGAAGCTACCTTCATACAAGCACATGTGGAGGGTAACGTTGGACGTCATCCACTTGAAGATTCCAAAGGCGGTGGAACAACTAACGATATGTTGGGACTCGTCGGGATGCACGTTCATCACTAATGGGTCAACTAAGAATCAACCAGTGATGAACTTCTTGGCATGCAGGGAGCAAAAAGGGTGGCGCTTGTGACGACGCCCATAATGACAGGGAGGCGGAAGAATTCCGCAGCGTTGGCAAGGATGTGGGAGCAGGTGATGAGGGAGATCGGTTTGCGTCCCATCACCACGACCTGCGCGGATAACGCAGAGGTCAACAAAAAGGCGGCACAGATTCTTGAACGGCGGAAGGACAGGGATGTGGCCCACGTCCCTTAGGTTTCTTGCAGGGCGCACTGTTGCAGTCTTTTGCTCAAGGATCTGAGCAACTTGCCATGGACGAAGGAAATTTTGAAGACTGCTAACGCGCTTTCTTGAACGGCAGAAGTACAGGGATGTGGCCCACGTCCCTTAGGTTTCTTGCGGGGCGCACTGTTGCAGTCTTTTGCTCAAGGATCTGAGCAGCTTGCCATGGATCAAGGACACTGTGAAGACTGCTAATAGCTTCATCAGAAATCATCATGCCACCCACGCATTGATGATCTCGATTGACGACTCGTTGTCCTTGCTGCACCCCACTGAGGTCCGGTTTGGATCTGTCTACATGGTGTTGCAGCGGCTGGCAAACAGAGAGAATGTAATGACAGAGACGGTGGATGGAAGGGAGGCGCCAAAGTGGAGGGCATTGAGATGGCCGGCGGAGAAGTCGTGCAAGAAGGCTGACCTCGTAGACGACACAGGTCGGAGTCTTGGTGGCCAAAGGTGAAATGATTGTGTCTATCATGCAACCAGTCTACAGCCTTCTGAAAAGCATGGATGCAAAAGGCACTTACCCTACAAAACCTCGTGGAGTACGACGACCTTGTCTGTCAAACATTGTGCTCACAAGGAAGGAGTGGGAGATTGTGATGCTGAAGGTCAAAGATCACATGCAGATGATAAGGTAGCCAGTGCCACGCAGTGGGGAAGCAGCGGAAGACCAGCCTAAAACGGGGGTGGCCGCCTGTCTGCCACACCAATGTCCATATTTCATCACGTTTGCTATTAGTGAGGTGAGGTATGGCGTTCTCCATGTTGCTTGACGCTGGGTATGCTGTTGTCGTCCACGTTTGCTGATGGGGGGGGGTTGCTGTTATCCTTGTTTGCTAATGCCCATGCCTGCTTTAACACCGCCACTAAAGACCCCACCACCACCACCATAAACCTCCTGGCCACATCACCCCCCGCACCCAATAAACGTTCACCGTCTTCTTTGATGATTCGGACTGTTTCGATGCTACAGGTATGCTGTTGTCCACATTTGCTGATAGCCAGGTTTGCTGTTATCCTTGTTTGCTGATACCCACGCCTGCTGTAACACCGCCACTAAGAACCCCATCCCCACCATAAAGCACTAAAAAAAAGTCCACCGTTTTCTATGCGGATTCGAACTGTTCGCAGCGAGCGCAGTCCGACCGTACTTTCAAAAAAAGAAATAAAACAACAAAGGACCAGTTTCGAGCCCAACCGGAATTCCGGTTGGAGGCCTTGGGTAATCAAGGTCGCATCCGGGCCGGGTCCGGTCCAACCGGCCGGTTGCCGGCCCGACACTCCCTCCAATTGAAAACCGAATTTTTTTTTGGCACGGTTCTGCCTGCTGATGGCTACACTACAACGTTTCGATCGTCAGTACATTCTTCAACTTTGATTAGCCATTTTACTTCCGGAAAAAAAAAAAAAATTCCTCACCTGACATGTACGCAGACCCTGCCAATAGCAGTGAGTTATCCTTTTCACTAAAATAATCTGTGATACGTGTGACATCCTTCACGGCCGTACTGGTACGTACTGGTACAGAGAACCACTATTTTCAAGACCTAATTTCGCTTGCCCCAATCTATGTTGGATGAAAAGGACAACAGGGTCGAGACCCACTGGAATGCATGCCTCGTTTCTGAGTGTTAATCTTCGAAACCCTGGCAGGAAACCAAGAACACTACCTGTCTTCCCCCGAACATAACGCAGCCTTAAAATGAATGCAGAAAAGTGAATTTTTCCGGCCAGATACGGTCAAAATCAGGGTGCGTTGTGCTTCGGGGAAGACGGTAGTAACAGCCTATCTTCTTCCCCCGGATACAACGTGCGGTTGTATTCGGGGGAAGAAGGTAGCCTTCTGAGTCAACAGATGCACAAGCAATATTTCCTACAAAGGGATATTCGTGATTGAAGTCGGATTCGTCCAGGTCTGAGCCAACCCGCAGAGTTGTGGCCAGACCTGGACGAATCGGACTGCAATCACGTCCAGAGCTTCATAGGAACAGTCCTAGGGCCTCGCTCCACTACTCTCCACATGCATGTAACTTTCCATGTTCTAGCCAAGGATTTAGTCTCCTTCAGCAGTTTGGGGTACTAGCGAATAGTGGAGCGAGTCCTCACGTGAGAAAAAAAAAGGAGAAAGATTCATCCATGTTTTAGGACTCTGCCTCGGGAGGGCGGACTCCCATTAGGACTGACATGTTTTAGCAAAGGATTTAGTCTCCTTCAGCAGATTTGGGGAGTTGGGAGAGCGTGAGTCCTCACCAAAAAAATTATGTCTTCCAGAGCAGAAAACAAAAAGAAGATAGGTTCTGCACCTTTTTCTCCCTCATGCGAACTCCCATAGGACTATTCCCACAGAGCTCTGGACGCGATTGCAGACAAATTCGCGTCCAGATTCATACAGGCCTGGCCGCAATTGCAGTCGGGTAGCCCCAGACCTGGACGAATCTGACTGCAATCACGTCCCTATGACTCCATAGCTTTGATAAAAACGTTCAGTTGGAACAATGCTGGCACCCACAATTCTTTCCTTCACCTCTGGGGAGTCTTGCATGACTTGAGGGGGGGCATTATATCCCCAACCGTTCTGCCCACCACGTGCCAGCCAATCACATGGTTCTTTTCTTTTTTCGTTTTTTCCACACCTGTATCTGCCACTGGAACAAGGACAGACGCAGGGGCTGGCTTTGCAGATAGTCTGACCAGGGTGGCAGATGAGTGGAAACAACCGCCTCCTTTTCGCTCCTGCTGGGGAAGTACTGTGTCCAGGGCAACCCTGTGGAGATTATCCTTATTTTTGCAGGTGAGTGGAAACAACCGCCTCCACCACTGGGGTTCCACAGAGGCTTGTACAGGTACGACCTCAATTTTCCATGCGGTGTTCCCGATCAAAGAAATATAAATAACAATAATACAAAATAAAATGAATTGCTGCAGTTACAGAGCGAATACAAACAGGCATACCACACAACATGCGAAGTCACTTTCTCATCAACTTCATTCTCCAGAGACAGGCTAGCAAATTATGCCGAAGTTGGCCCCAACGAAAGACAACTCCACACAGCTCACCATGCAAAAATAAGGATAATTTCCAGAGGGTTGCCCTGGACACACTACTTCCCCGTCCTCCCCTCCCCTTTGTGAAGGAAGAGTACGTCTCAAAGAGTGGCAGTGTTTACGTTTCAAGCTATCACTGCAAAAGTATAGACACGATAAATAGGCATCATTTCTCACATGTTTCATCGAGTGCAGAGATGAATTGGAGAATCTTTACACGTTTTTCAAGCTATCACTGCAAGTAACCCCTATTTCGCTTGTTGAACACGCACTGCATCATTTCTTCACTATGTCAACAACCCCCCCCCTTCCAAACCCCCCATTACATTTGCATGGAGCACGCATGTCACACAAGGCATTTCAAGGCGGTCGGGAACAATACTATCACAACTCGGTGGTGTCTACGTGAGCAACGCGGTGGTGTCTACATTTACACCACGTGCAACAATACCAACACTTCCGGCTTGTAATCAGGGCCCAAGGAAAATTCTCAATAGCACAAGCAAATTCCTCACACTTCTTGGTGGTTTTCCACGCTTGCATTTACACGATGTCCAACAATAACCATACTCGTGGCTGGATGTGGTGCTTTTCCCCACGTGCATTTACACAACATACAACAATAACCATTCTTGAACCTGGAAACCAGAGCCCAAGGAGAATTCTCAATCCCACAAGGAAATTCCAAACACTCCGTGGTGGTTCTCCCCAGTGTGAACCATTATTACACAAAACACAGTGCCCATCTCCTGGGAGATGATTCGACCAACAAGCAGGGACTTGATTGACTGTGTGAACCATTAATTACACAACACAGTGCCCATCTACGGGGAGGAAATGATTCGACCAACAAGCAAGGACTTAGTTGACTGCGTCGGTTATAAACTACAACGCATTGAAAACATGCACGACAGCCATCTGAGGGACGAGCATCATCCATTGAACATTCATATCCTCAAAAAAAGTAACAGATTGAACGAGCTCATAATTACAGGGAATATATAGACAGTTCAAGAACGACCAATTCCGAAACCACAATTCATGGGAGATCTAACCAGCCACAGGCTAACTCACTGTCATATTTTTTACTTCAATACAAGATGACAAGCTGAGGGAAAGAGCCTTAGGACTGGAGATTCGTATAGTCAAAAACAGGTATGACTGCGAAGATCTCCCGCCTCCGCTCCCCAGACATCAGAATACTACACAAAATCGACACTGCTACACGTCCTCGTCACTGCCACCACTCGATTCTCGAAAGGGGGGCCGAAGATCTGCACTTTTTCTTGGTCGCCCTCAGCGCCTTCTGCTGTGTGACAGGGTATGACTGCGAAGATCTCCCCGCCTCCGCTCCCCAGACAACAGAATACTTCACAAAATCGACACTGCTGCACGTCCTCGTCACTGCCACGACTCAATTCTCAAAAGGGGGGCCGAAGATCTGCACTTTTCTTGGTCGCCCTCAGCACCTTCTGCTGTGTGAATGCGTGGCAGTTTCAATCACTTTGATGTCAGCAGGTCCGAGATGATTCGAATCCCAAACCCCATGCACATTTCCAACTTGACTCAGGCTTCGCAGCACTACGGCATCCACCACTCGTCGCTCCTTCCGGCTTCACACCAGCGAAACATCTCCGACGGATGGGAATGCACCGTTTGCAGACCATCCGCATAGTCTACACAAGCAAAGAAAAGCCACAATACACTATCACATATAAGATAACATGCCCGAGTTACTCGGTTAACACAATCGTTCACTTTCTCGGCCGCTTCCTTTTAAATCGTCGTCACCACCAGCAACACATACACTGCGCTGCAGAACATATTGCACCAGGACAATTACAAGCACGTACAGGAGTTGGCACATGCTCAAGCAGTCCGTAATTCAATAAGGCAATCCAGACAGCATGCGTAATGTCGGCCTACGTGAGGGTACTTCAGCCTTCAGACCACAAAAAACAGAAAACACAGACTTCTTTCACAAGCCTAATGTTCAAGACAGCATCATCTACATGAGACACTTCTCCACTAACTCCCAGCAACGTTTAGCTCAAAAGCTCATATTCACCAGTTGCCAACCAATCTTCATGCACAAAAGAATCACAACTGTCGAATCCAATGCTCATAGAATCATAATCATTGAGACTTCCCATACCACTCCCACAATGAAAAAGGGAGCACATTATAGCCATGCATCAAGAGTCCTGGAATGGGCACATGTTCCTAATTTCTGACTTATCTTTTACCACACACTTCCTTGCAAGAGTGGCAGTGAGATTGCAGAACAGAAGCATAGACAAGCACACCCTACCTTAAATCCCTGCATAAATATGATCGTACGTCATTGCAGACCACCGAACCGTAAAGACGGACAGCAACCCCCGTCAAGTGCCATCCAACGAGAGGGATATCTCAGAGACTTCACAGCTGACAAACTGACGGCACACTGCATCCATATGATCGCACTGGGCCATCAACCTCCATGTCAGAATCAGGAGGGTGAGCTGTCTATCGGCAGGGACCTTCGTCGTCACGACTGCTGTCACTGCAGACTGCAGAGTGTCTCCTGTGCCAACAACGTCTGGTCCGCGCACCAAACTTCACATGCCCAACCATCTCCTCGTCGTCTTCACTGTAATTTGAGACAGCATCTTCATCAGAAGAGGAGGAGGGGGGTTCTGACTCCACTTCCTGCCCAGGATCCTTGCCACGGCTTCTATTCCTTCGCTCTCCACCACCAATGCTCGCATTTTCCTTGTCAGCTTCGCTAGTTGCCCCTCCATCTTTCTGAAGAAGCCTTCTCCTTCGTGCCTTCCTCTTGCCCTTCCTGACTTCGGTCTCCTCACTTCTCTTCACAACAGGTGCTTCCACTTGCTCACGGTGCTCATTTTCCTTAACAACAGTTGTTTTTTCTCCGTCATGAGTACCGTTTTCTCGCCGCTGATCTCCTCCAGCACCATTCGCACCTTGCTGCGACTTATGACAGGACACCCCTTTCTCCATGGGCCCAAGATGCCGCTGATAGCAGCCACTCTCCCCTTCGTCTTCTGAGTTGGACGGCGATGACATCCGCCTTCTCTTTGGTCCTCCATTGGCCCACTGCAGAGCGAGCATAAGCTAGTTAGTTTACAAACATTCAACTTCTTATGCTATCAAACTCGACCACAAAAACAAATTTGCAGCGTTCCAAATTTGACGCATCCGCAGAATTTATGCATCGTTCGAACAAATGGAAGTAACCAAGACATGATTACATAGATGCTACATTCAAGCAATACAAAGGAAACATCATGACAAAGAGCATGCGCAAACTATACACATAACACACACATCAGAACAAAGTATCTAAGGTAACAAGCCTGACCAGTACCCTATCTCTTATAAACCAAAGCCAGTGAAGATCCCCCATAAACATCGAAATATTTGAAATCTACAGAGGCGTACATCTACAGACGTCATGATCCATAGGTCTCTCTTTCGCTCTCTAACGCTCTCTCTTCTCTCTCCCCAGCCGTTGAATCATTTCTTTTACAAAGGTTTTAGTAAATGAATATCCAGTATTCTGCTAATATGACTTCCTTGTTTGAAGGTCTCAGTGAATGAATATCCCATCTATTAAAACAACCAGCAGACAAGACCGACCCTCCCATGGCTCTTCAAGTGCCGTGTCACAAGAGCCAAGGCAACTTAAAAATACCCCTCTACCTCTCTCAACATTGAGGTGGAGAGAGAGGGAGAAAGAGAAGCATCAATACCTACAGCGATGTCTACTGTGTGGAACACAGCTCAACGCAAGAGTGATAAGATCTGATGTTGTCCGTAGTACACTGATGGATTAATTGAGCAATACAGCCAATCGAGCCAACTACCGCTCATCAGCCATTCACCTTCTCGAGAAGTGGAAGAAGCCTCCACTGAGAGGATCGGTTGCAGAATTGGCAAACGTAGTGGCTTGATTAAAATCATTCAGAATTAAAATCATTCGAACAATACCCTCCCAATCCGCCTCGCTCATTCCCTTCTTTGCAAATTGCATTCCCGACCTACATCCTTCCTCCCATTTGCTATAGGACACTCCTCAGCATCTTCCCCGTCAACAACCTCCTCAACACCTCTGCCGCCACATTCCATACTGATCAACTAATTCCTAAACCTCTCGTCCTCCTGATCCCAAGTCCTCTCGCTCACCCTAAAATCTCCTGCTACTCCAATCCCTCAAGATTTCAACGACTAGCCACACCTGCCTCCCTGACCAGACACTTGATCTCCCCTAGTGGTTCTTCCCCTCCTGCCTTTCCGCATTCACCACATGATCACACCTGCTCCTTCCGATAGTGGCCATGCACAAATCCATTCAGACTTCCAACATAGCACCCCAACAAAGGACGGCAAACGGACGGATGAATTAATGGCCGGAGCACTTCCTCAGGATGAGCTAAACTGCCTATTTCATGTTTGGGCTGAGTGTGAACAGAACTATCGCTGGGAGCCGGAGGGAGGGAGGAAGGGAGACAAAGTGCAGTTCGCAAACCGCACGAAGTCACCCATGCCTTTCTTGGTCCGGTGTGAAAGGAACTCCCAACATCTTCAGGCACAACACCAGAGGCACACAGACATAGAGGTAGAGAGTGCACTTCAGCACCCCGGTCCGAACGCAGCTCAAACCTGCATTTCCTTTCCACCCAGTTGCGAGCAGGACAGAAAAACCGGCCATATTGCACAGAGAAAACGAATGTGTTTGAACAGCCAATGTGCGTAGCTCTGTTATCAAACCCATGAACTCTTTAAATACGGACCTCGTTTTCAAATCCGTACGAACTGTTGAAATACGGACCTCGTTTTGAAGTCCGTCCGAGTTATCTGGGCCCTGTCAGTTGTACTCTGCCACGCCTCAAGGCCATCGACCCATCCAAAAGACAAAAAAAGCAACAAAGAAAGAAGAGCCAAAAAGACAAGAACAATGAAAGAACAAAACCACAAGAAGGGAATGCCGGCGCCTAATGTTGAAAGCATGGCAGCTCTACCTCCCCATGCTCTCTGGGAAGATGGATACTCCATTTTGGGCATGTCGTGAATAGCACGGCGTATACTTTCTTTCTTTTGCATTTTGTCAAAGAATGCATCAGTTTCTGTTTTCATTTTTCTTCACAGTTAGAACAGTCCCTCTGCCCGTACTTTCTAGGCCGATCAGTTTTCTAGGACACCGTCGATAGATGCCAGAAAGCACACTGCGTAACGGACAGCTGATCTGGCAGATAAAGAGAAACCGATTAGGATGTGTCGCAGCATAGCATTACACCCAACCGGAAGAATCCTAATAGAATGCAGTAGATATCACATCACAGTAGATGGTGTAGGACGCTTCATCATAGAAGATGTTGTAGGACGTTTCATCATCGCCACAAAGAATTCTACACAAACCTTCACGTGACTCTATACATGCGCACGTGGAGAACCAGGGTCGTATTCAAGTGAGGCCACAGTAACCAGCTCAAGCGCTGAATCAGTAGCCACCTTGGTGGCAATTTCCATCAGAGAGCTTGAGCGCACACAGTATACTGAACAAACAAATTAATTTTGACAGAGTTCTCACGACTTCAGCTGTTGATATTTGACAGCTCACCTTTGAAGCCTGGTCATCTGCTGGGAGAGCCCAACAGGGTCGGTTGCGAAGACAGTCCAGCACAGCCTGACGATAGCTTGAGTGAGAATACCACTCCCCATTTGCCTTTCTCAGCTCGTGCAAATGCTGCGGAGAAAGAGAATGGATCAAAGCAGCTGTCATCAGTCAATGCTATGTCATCTACACGACACGGCCTACTTGCTGTGGGACAAAAAAACATATCCCCCCTTACGAAACACCTCACACACTTCAGCAATAAGACAACTCCCTAGCTACGGTACTGGCTAGGAATAAAGAATCCCCCGCCATATTCATTTCCGAAGAACAGAGCCTGAGGAGTGCAACCCCCCCTCATGATCCTTCTTGCAAAAGATGCATCACAAGGCCAGTATACATACAATTCTCCTTCCTGAACAATCTAAACGAGATCATACAGGGGCATACGCAGCCAGGCTCCCATTAAACACACCACTCCACAGCAATCCAGGCAGTCGAGTCCCAAAGTGCTGCTTTCCTTTTCCCCAACCGCCACTTCACTAAAAGCACATTATGCAGTTACAACGATGATTGCAGAACTCACATGTGAAACGGCTGAGCAGATCACTTCGAAGGAAAGAGTACTGCATGATGAAGCCTGAATCTCTTCTTCGATCACAACTGCAGAACACATAAACAGATAACCATTAGCATGATGCGAGCCATCATGGACTGCAGTGGTACTGCAAGTCACATCAATGAGAATACTAAGCATACATCGACGTTTCCCAAAATAAATATATGGCGCACACGACTGGCAACAGAATGAATGACAAACTACCACAACCACCTCCATCAGTTATAGCCTGCCATACCAAAATGCAATACATGATCCCCTCCACTCCTACCATGCCATACCATGTTTAATACACTATACACATTTCTTCCAGTTAATCCATGACGAGTTATTGACAACTGGAACACACACCGTCACACATAGAGCAACTCAAAACCCGGAGCAGTTAAAACCAGTCTCAGGAGAACACAACTTTGTTATGGGAAGGGGCAGTTGGATAATATAGGCCGAGCAGTAAGCAACAAGACATTTCCGTAGGCTAGGCTTACCGGGAAGAGTCACAGGTTTCCCCTCCCCCGAAGTTTTTCTCTCTCCACTGCTGGACCTGGAAGGTCTCCCACTCTTCTCAAATTCCCCAGACATAACCAACCCGTCTTCAAAATGTGGGGAGGCTGTCATCATCGCACCCGACACCTCAGACTTTCCAGCTTCACCATCATTTTCAGGTAAGCCCTTTTCAGCACCGCCTCCCACCATACTAAAGCTGGAGACACCGTTCCCATCATGGCCATCCCCAAAGCTTTCGGGCTCATCGGCACCCCGCTTGCTCACCTCGTTTCTGCACTCCCCAACCCCTCCATTGCAGGCTACCCCTTTCTTCACTTGAGTGCCAGCTCCTCCCCCTTCGTCCAGTGTGTTATCAGAAGTATGCCTCCCAGACCCGTTACGAGCATTCTCCTCCTTGGGCCTCTTTCTTGATACCTGATCGTAGGTAACACACGAATCATCAAACACAACACCCACAAAATTTTATTTCGATGAATGAGCACCGAATCAAAGCATATTTCCAAAAAGATAAGAAAAGAGTAGACGCAGTTACTCTCCCATCAACCTTCGGGTTCTGTGAATCCTGCTGTGCCAAGCCTTTACACCCGTGAAATGCCACGTCACATCAACCTGGCCACCTATTAGATGCATAGCAGTGGCAGCAAACACTGCATCTCAGTGAAAAACTGCAAAGCATGCCCAGACATATCATAAATGCGGAAAAACAATGGGCTAGACCCCAAAATAAAACATTTCCATGGGCAGATAGATCTCACTTAACATCACAAACGACCTGAAGACCAGGACCAACACCTTCGCCCTATAACCTGCACGGAGTATAACACATTCATCTGTAACCTTTGAGGCATTGTCATAAGGAAGACGAAAGCATACCTGCTGATCATGATGATGTCCACTTGAATTCCCATTCTGATTGCTTGGCAGCCGCTTTGCTGGCGTGAGTGTCTGTACATGCCCGTTCCCCGAGATGCGCTGCTGTCCCATACTGCCCGTAGAAGAAACCCTACTCATCCTTGGCATTCTTGGCGAGCTATTCAGTTCGTGATGCAGCAACTTCGCATACTGCCAAATTCAAAACACAAGCCTTGTTGTTAGCAAGGATTACAAGCATCATCCACAGAGTGAAAACTCGCAAGATAACCGCATCTATAAAACGTGCCAAGTTTCACTGGCTCATCCATCACACAAGAACCTCCAATTTCAGAAGTTTCATCACACAGGATGCTTAGTGGCTGAACTTTCATGCTCGCAGTTCCACTGGCACATCCTAATGCCCACCAGTTCAGTAAAATAAACCCCATACACAATTAGGAGTAAAAATCCCCGGATTCGGCAACAGCAAATCTGCTCCAGGAGGATACCAAAAAAACGACCACCACTCCAAATATCTGTGACGAAATCCACATCACCCATAAAGAAAAAAACAATTCAGAGCGTTTCAGACATACCAGATCATTTGACATCTCACCCCAAAAGTGACAGAGGAATAAGTCCCAACTGGAAAAAGGGTGATCAGTTGTCTTCGGCAAAAAAAAAAAAAAAGCAGTCAAGGCCTCACCTCCTCATCATTCATTGGCGTGAGAATACTGGCTGCAGATCCTCCAAGCCTCTTATGCCCATGCTGCGGCGGCGGTGGAGGCATGGATGCCACCGACGGCTTCATACCAATTGAAGTACGTGCAACACCACTGTGCTCCCCCTTCGGTTTCCGGGAGCATTCATCCTTAACGCTCCGAACACTGTTAGTTGAGACAGATTTGAGACCAGATGGCAAAGACGAGTGCTTGGGACTCGGAGAGTGACTATAGCTTTGCTTTCCACTACCAACAACTGGCACTGGTTTTGCAGTACTTGACACACCATTCTTCGATGAAGCAATCGTCACCAATGCGCAATGCTTCGACCCATTTGCAGACGTCTGCAACGAGATTTTTGCAGAAGAGACCTTCCCCCCGCTGCCTTGGGATGAGACATGCCGACTGCCACCATTTGACTGGGCAATCCCTGATGGGGAACTCCCGGCCCCTGGACAATTACTGGGCGAGCAGTTATTGCTTGAGCAGGGGCGTGTCACGTTCAATGCAGAGGTACTGACAGCTCGAGCTGCATCAGGCAAGTCACTCTTGCATGACTTTGCTGATTGCTGCACAGTGAGCTTTGTAGCAGAAACCGTGACCTTCGAACGACTAGAAGACAAGGGGGGTTTTGCAGAAGGGTGCAAACTTGATTGTCTAGGGACAATACCGTTGGCACCCGACGAGGTCTTCCCCTGTACCAAGCGTCCACTGCCGGGCTTACTTAGTACTGGCCCGCTAATCACAACAGCTTTGTGTGTTGTCGCTGATAGCACTTGTGGGGATTTCCGGGCGCCAGATGCAACCTGCTTTACAGATGATATATGAGGCATTGCAAAGTCCCTCTCTCCAACAGGCTTTCCCACAGGTCCTGACACCGAGCCCGCATGAATCCCAGAAGTCGCGCTCCCGTTTTTTCCAGCGCTCACTACACGAGCTGACAGTGTAAGCCGCGACTGTGGACGCTGAGGAATACCTGAAGACAGTACAGATCGCAGACCAGAGGGCGTAGTATCTGTGCGACCCCTCATCACATGATGTGGAAGATTCTGATCAGCCGAATGACGAGAGTCATCTTGGTCAGCAGCAAAATACACATGGGGATGTCCACTTCGCCTCTGTCTGTGCTGATTAAGAGCCTGCTCTTCCGCCTCTGGAAGCATGTTCCCATGCCGTGGACGTAGAGGCTGCTGGTTTATATGATGGTCCTGGTCATCTGATCGATCAGGGGACTGCTCACGCGAGGAAAAAGCAGAATGACTACTACCCACCATGTGCTGCACCATATCACCACCGCAACCGACCTCTTCTGGACGGACATTAAGTTCCATGCTAGACCCTCCATGGGTCGACCTATAATGCCTCCATACCACATCCTCGCCACCTTCTTCAATGCTGACCAATCGTTCATTGCATACATCCCCGTCACCCAGCACAGTACTTGTTGACAGCATGTGCACTGTGTGCGGTGAGCTTGACCGAGACTCCTGCAATCCACCGTCTAATCCATTAACTGCAACGGCAGCTAAGCTTTCCAAGGGGGAAGAGGGCACAGCATCGACATTACAGCTCCCTCCATTGCCCCACTCCGTCGAGTGACTGGCTCCATCCGCAGAGAAGTTATGCGACATCACCTTAGACAGGGAACCCTCGAGCTGACCAACCACATCCGTTTCATGCTCACCGTCAGCCTTCCCTCCCCCGGTTTCCACACGCTCAGCGGTAACTCCCTCGTTTGAAATGTCGATCTCCTCTCCTTGTTCCGCTCGGCCACCGTGAAAGAGTCTGGATGAGACTGACAGGGAAGCAGGTGAAGACGGACTGGCAGACCTTGCATTTCCCTGAAATTCACCCAAAGCAGCCGCCTCCACATCATGGGACAACTCAAACCTCCTCCCGTCTCCATTGCTGACTCTCGATCTCTCCCATTCCATCCGATTACCTAGGGAGTCCATCGACGATGCCTTCATTAATTGAGCCTGCCCATCAGACACAAAAGCCAGGCAACGACCATTCATTAGGCCAGATGCGTTGTGAAATGATGCATAGGAATCTACTCATCACATGAATGAAACCAGTCCGTTCCACATCTAGCCCTGACCAGTCTGAAACCAGAACAGTGAGCACCTGTGGGAGACATAGCACCTTGCTCCACCACATAACATTTAAATATGCGGAGCTCGCAACGGTTGAAATGCATTCAAGTTGCTGAATCAGTGCGGATGCGCCTGATCCGAATCTCAGTCCAGTTACTGGTCGAATGTTAACTAGCGGATTGAGGCCCATGGTTGCAAATCTTAAGCTGGAATTGACTAACCAGTGTGATTCCCTGGACATCGAGGAAGGTGTGAAAACAAAATGTGTCCGATGCCCTCAAGAGCGGCTCACCACAAACGCAAAATTAAAAGAATAACATATTTTGGAACTATATCTCGACAATTCAGCTGACTATAAAGTGAAAAATATATATTCGGATACGATGCCTTCTATGTCGACAAACAGCTTTATATTGAATACATTCATAACTATCTACGACCATTCTACGTTTTTTATCTCTAATGACTTCATTTGACATATGGCTTAAGATATCTGGTAAAACAGAGCGACAGCAGGCATTGGGAAGGTTCAGTTCCTCTTTTTTATCAACATAGCCTACATCCAGCCTTACTAACACTTTAACATAAGCGTCACTTTTCCGGCACTATATGTATCTTTATTTATATCTTTAGTTAGAACGGTTTCTTACAAACAGTTCCAAATGGGCGCTTTATTAATTATCTTTCTTTATTAGATCTGTCAGCTATTTTGTCTTGAGAAATTTGCCAAATAAAAGCATAAAATATAGCTAATTTTATCACACCATAAACAGGTAAAACGCACAAAAATTGAAACCGAATGTCTGAAGTTAAAAAAGCTGCTATTAAGACTGAGAAAAAGAGAAAAGAACGACGATTTTTGATACAGGTTTTTACTGAAATAGGTTTCGATTCTATTAAGAAGATCATGAAGACCAAGAGACAGGCTGGGCAAATTCAAAGCAGCTTTCTTCCACTACAGCTTTGAAGAATTCAGAGCAGGTGAAGCGACTTACTTTTTGGTGAAGTCCTCCAGCGTCAGCTGCCTCTGTCATTTCTGGGCTCAACCGACCATGGATTTGGCCGCCCCCTCTGGGGCTGAGAGCTTCGTTTTCCGAGAAATAGCCTGCCTTACCAACTCCCGAGTCATACTCTTCCTGCACAGGACAAGAAGCTTCAATGTTCGTCAACACGGCCGACCCGATTCCATGGCCCGTTTGATCGTGATTCTCTTTCCGCCTCCTCTTTTGGGGACCGCTATCAACCGCCGCCGACGAGTCGTTGTCACTCTCTTCATGAGAAACATCCCTCCGACGAGGTTCAATAGCTCTGCCACACGACCTTCCATCAGTGCCCATCACGACCTCATCGGAAGATGACACTCCCTTCCTCCTCCCCACGGCCGTCCTTACAGCCTTCCGGAGCTGTTCCAGATCTTCCATCGCTTGAATATTGCTCTGTGTAAACGTCCCATTACTACTGGACAGGACAACCTGTCGGAGAGATCGGAGACGCAACGTCATTCTCTCGCAGTCCACACAAAAGTAGTCGTGACTGCTCCCACTGCTGCTTGAAGCCCGTTCAACTGTGACAGAGAAAAAACACAGCGAAAATATTAATCAGTAGAAAATCGGCTGTACATATCCATTGCCCCATGACATCATGACACGACCCGACCAACCACAAATTTCAATCTACCCACTAAAAGCGACGTTCCAAACCTAAACACTGCCAGCAACGCCGACCATCATTCACCATGGAGAGACCCTTCGAGGATAACATGCAACACTTCTGCTTACAGATCAGGTTACGATTGTAATACATCACAAATACAACTTCCCCAGTGCACCAATAGAAACGAACCTCCGTACACTGCGCCCCCCCCCCAAAACCAGCACGAAGTCCCACAAGAGTGGCAGCCACTGCATCAGATCCGCCTCTTCAATTTCTTGCTCCTTATGCAGGTTGTGCTATGGGAGGACTTCCCGAGACAATGGAATGCACGCTCTAATTATCTATGATACGGATACGGTATCACGGAGTGAACAAAACAGACCTTCCAGAACGGCAAAGATACCACTGTCCGAGTACACTACCGTCGTCTCCCCCCCAAACACAACGAACATAATGACTGCATGAAACCGGAAAGAGCTTGTATACACTCGTTATCAAAGTGCGTTGTGTTCGGGGGAAGACGGTAGGCTACAGTAAATGAAAGTATGCGAAGGGTGTCGCAGTTCAAACATGGGTCCTTGAAGGGCATACCCAGCTCGGAGTCATCTGCGGCTCCTCTCCGAGACAGAACCAGGATTATAAGACACCAGAATCATCGATGTAAAATCAGCTTCTTCGGTCTCCTACATGCCCATCACGTCCACGACATCGTAAGGAAAAGAAGCACCATCAGCATACGCCAAAGCATTTTAGTAGACCAAAGACGAGGTCGTCAGCATCTGCCGCTGAGCACAAATAGACGATTGTCAGAACGTAAAGGGATAAGATGTACACCGCTTTCCGAGCAGCAGCGAAACGAGCCGAGATCATGCACAGGGAAACAGAGGACCGAGAAAGTATACAAGATAGTTCCAAGGATTAATCAAAAGTCACAGGCAGGAAAGGCAGAAAGAAATCCACAAGGGATACTGCCTGCCATTTGCTCAACCGATTGCGACAACAACAACACGCAGACCACAACCCCGTACAATAGAGGCGACAGACAGCCACTAAGAGGCGACAGCCGCCACCGTAACGTCAGTAAGGATCCATCATATTGCATAGATTAGGCTGAAAACAAAAAAGAGGGACCATTCACTCTAAACCGCATGCTTCCGATGGAAGGTTGAAGACAGTCAACAACAACAGTCAAGAGGAAGAGACTCGAAGCAAGAACATAATGACGAGTGATTGACCGATGACAATCGGATGACCTTGCAGCGCGACTGCAAACCAACATAGTACACACATTAAAACGAACGACTTACGTGACACATGGCCCATACAAAGGTGACAGGTGACGACAACCATGAAGGGGCGGTGAACACGATTTCTTCAACGTACACTGGTACAACGTTGCAGAGTAATTGCACATAGACAAACCCTCCGCGAACGAAGGGAGGAATTCTAAAATAATCACGGCGTGTACATCCATTGAAAGCGTGGCCATGCCATCCACAAGAGTACTAGTAATTGAAGCATCAACGCAGAGGGCCAGGGAAGTAACTAACAAAGGAACTCCACAGAGTTGAAGACGACGGCGAACGAACTAAAACGATCCATTGTCGCATAGAACCAACACACGGAACGTGGGCAGGACGTTTTTTCACCTTCGATACCGAGCCCGACAACTGTAGCAGCTATCTTTCTTTCCATGTTCCAACAGAAGAGATTCATTCGCATACGCACATTTGATGAGTGGGTGCGTCGAGGGCCTACATTTCATGCCAGCATAGTACTTCCGACAGTAATAAGCACAAAACCATGGACTCCCAGCTAGCAATCACGGAATACTGCGACCACGGAGGTTCCGACATCACCACTGCAAACTTATTTCTCACTCCGACATCGCAATCCCTCGACAGAAAAGAACCGACATCGCAATCCCTCGACGGAAAAGAACCTCGACGGAAAAGAACCGACATCGCGATCCCTCGACGGAAAAGAAGACGGTGGTAGAGTTAGCGGCGGCGAGCATACAAGGGTTTAACACGAGGAAAACGACACGGAGAAGCCCTTTGAAATAACGGAAACATGGTTGGGGGAAAAACTGACAACAGTCATTTTCTGCAACTCGTTATGAACAATAAACAATTCCATACCACATTTCACGTGCCAATATAATCGACGCAGACGCACGGCAAACCGGGATGAATCGGATCACAGCCACGAAGACCTACGCACGCAAGGCAACGCTCACGAAAGGTTCCAACCTCCTCGTATGTTTTGTTTTTTTGGGGGGGGAGGGGTTGGGGGAGATGGGGGGTAAGAAGAAACGGAAGTGAGCGGAAGTACCCGATAAAGCGCACGAAAGAACGAGGGGGAGAGGGGGAAGGAGGGGGGGGGGTGAGAAGAAGCGGAGGCGAGCGGAAATACCGGATAAAGCGCACGAAAGAACGAGGCGGAAACTGAACACACGGGCGGAGCGATTGCGGATCCAGGCAGAGGTTATCGAGCTCCCGTGGAAATGAAACGCACACCGAAGTGAAGGCGGGCGCAGCAACGGACACCGGTGGTAAAGCGAGCGACCACAGTGGGCAAGGTGTCAGACAATTCGAAGCGAGCGAACACATCAGGAGGGGGGGGTTCGGGGGGACGCGATTGGGCACCAGGTGAAGGAGAGTGATGGCCATGGAGCAGTTGACCAAACACTCGGAAAGGCGACGAGGGAGCGCGCGAGGAAAGCACGCAGACACCGGAGGGGAGGCGAGGGAACACGGATGGAAAACCGGCGGAAAATATGATATAAAGCGAGCGAACGTTTGGGGGAAGGAGAGGGGTCGTCCAGGACAAGGCGATCAAACACCCAGCGCGGTTCGGGCGAGCCACGGGGAGAGGCTCGCGCACGGCGGGGAGAAGACAAGCGGAGGCGAGCACACGCCTAGGCTCACGCCAGCAGTTGACAGGGTAGGAGGGCAACGCCCAGCAGAGCAGGGAAACGATAGGTAGCTCCACAAAGGACAGAGCCAGGCAAGCCAATCACGGGGGTAAAAGATTCCGCGAACGGGCAAACGGTCATCACGCTAGCAACCGGAAGAGGCCCAAATCACCCATAGGACACAAACTTCACAAAATGGGGCGCACAAGTTGGTCGACGATGGCAAACGGAAGAGACGCAAACCAGCACCAACATACGCAGACGCCGGTGGACGGCCAAGCAAACGGCAGGTGACGGCGAAAGAGCGGAGGAGAGAACCCGAAAGACGCGGGATAGCCGGGAGGCGCACACAGGGTCGAAAAGTCTGCAAACCTGAAAACAGCGTAGGAGAGGAAAACGGCAGTGAGAACTGACAACGGGGAAGAGACGTGAGACGCACAAACAGCTGATAAGCTAGAAAATGGTAAACGTTTGTGCTAAACAGAGCGAGAGTGACAACCACACCGAGAGAGGCAAATAACGGGGGAAACGGCAAACACCGATGAAGGGACAAACGGCAGAAGATGGCAATCACATGGTGGGATGGGGGCGATCAATGAGGAGGGACTGACAGACTGGACGGCGGGAGTGAACGAACAAATAGCGGGGGAGGCTAACCAAAAAGCGAGAGCGACCAAACGCTGGTGAAGAGCGGTTTCACGGTGAAAAGCGACCGTACGGGTGACAGGAACGACCAAGAGGTACGGAAGAGCGACCGGGCGGTGAGATACAGCGCCCACGCGGTAGGGCAGAGCGACCGAGCGGTGGGGCAGAGCGACCGAGCGGTGGGGCAGAGCGACCTACGGTCTCTCCGCCAACACAACGCACACTGTGTACCTCACAGGAAATATAGCTTGTATACACTCGTTATCGAAGTGCGTTATGTTTGGAGGAAGACGTTAGCGGTGAGCCACAGCGACCGCGCGGCAAGGGAAGGAGACCGCGCGGCGAGGGACGGAGACCGCGCGGCGAGGGACGGCGACCGCGGGACGAGCCACATCGACCGCGCGGCGAGGCAGAACGACCGAGCGGTGGGACAACACTAAGCGCGCGGTGGAGCACACCGACCGAGCTGTGAGAGCAACAACGACCGAGCTGTGAGTCACGTTCCACTGCCAGAGCGACCGAGCAGCGGAACATCGCAATGGGATACGGCGAACCAGACGGTGAGGAAAACCGACCGAGCGATGCCGTACAGCGACCGCACAGCGAAGGAGAGCCGAAGCAGGAGCGAACACGGAGGTGAAGCATTCAAGATGGGAACCGAGCAAACCGTGGGAATCATAACAGAGAAAAGGCCAAACAAACGGCGGGATTATCAAGTCAGGACAGCGGGAAAAGAGACAACAAAGCAGAAGTGTCAGACTTTTCACCGCCAGACAGGAAGAATGGGGATCGCACAGCAGATGACACAACGAAACGCATTACCGAGGGTAGGGAACGAACAAAACGGACTCGGCAAAATACAAAACCGAGCGGGAAAAGCACGTTAGATAAGACTGATGAGACAACAGTCGGCACTCAAAGCTCCCGGCAGGGGCAGCGTGACACGCGGAGCGACCGCATGGGCAGGGCAGCACACGACAGGGGGTTGAAGAACCACCACCAAAAAGAATTGAGAAGGGGGGGTCCTCTACAAGACGGTGGACACAAGGCACAAGCTCAGGGAAAAGACCGGGACCGCAGAGGGAGAAACTGATAAAGGCCGGATGGGATGGGATGGGATAAGCACACTACTGCAGACGGAGGGAAGCACTACAGAAGGCGAATGAATGGACAACAAGAATGGGAACACGAGACCGGGAAAGGGCGAGGGGAGGGCGATTGACAGAGACGTAACATAATAGAAGACCGAATGCACGGCATGCGGCGGAACCGCGCAACAATAGATGCTAAACTACCGGAACGACGAAAGCTAGGAAGAACTTTTGACAAGAGGCGGTGCATACCCATAA